GCGCAGAGGCTGCTTGGTAAAAGCCTTGATGCTTTCTTGGTTCCACTGATGGGAGAAAGAACTAAGTTGGAAAAGGTAATTGTTGCTGAGTATAGGATGAGCTTCAAAGGCGTGCATGAAAGCAAAGCATTGCCCGTTGTTCAGTCTTCTGCTACATTTTTCGAGCAAACTTTTTAAGATCGCAGAATACTGTGAAGAAGCCACAAAACAAAACGCTGAAATCATGGCTAGTCGTCCGAAAGCAGCAGCGGTCGACAAGGCAGGCGGAGATAGCTTGTGCAGCGATGGCGTAAGATTCATCATTTTCTTAACAAAACTTTCATCGATAATCAAGATGGACATTTGTTGTTCTAATAGTTTTTGCTATTTTTGTTACACCTTTTTAGAAATTGAGGTAACAAATATCAACACTGAGAAATCTGGTTCGTCTTTCTGTTTGCTTATTATTACCAAGTCATTCGCAACACCACAGCCTTCCGTATCATATACTGACTATGACTTGCGGATTCGATATTCGTTACCAGTCCAGATCACATCGCCACTTCGTTCGTTCAGAGGCTTATCTTGCATTTCGACCTCTCTATACTTTATCAGATTAGCCACGATATCTCGCTTGGTTATAATCTATTGGGATCAGTAATGCAGCCGAATACGAAATAGTCTCGTTATTTCTCCGAAGGCAGTGTCCACGCAACTTAAGAATTCAAGCATGAGCAGTGTCTACATCTCTCAGCAGCTTTTCTAGCAAAACTGCTGGCGAGAGACCAAGAAAGCTGATTCGGTTGTCCACATCCGTTCAAAAGGATTTGCAAAAATATCTGTTCTTCTATTCACCAGTTGAAGTTTATATCTATTATAATCAAAAAATTCTGGATGCTTAGCAAAGATCAAAACTTCTTGAAGATTGACATACCGGTGAGTATGGTTGTCATCAGATATTGACGGCATCATATACAACCTGACAGTTATGGATAGTATGTATTCTCCGTCGATTGTTCAAGCATCCTAATTGAGATCATGTTTACAGAACAGAAACGTTGTCATAAAAGCAGGCCAACGCGTTTTCATTGCATTTTGCTGTTTAATCTCCTTAGAATAAGTAGCCCATGTCTAAAAAGATTAATTTGTGCTAATCGGCGCATGACAAATTGCAGGTGGTGTCGGCACCACTATCAGATGAACCTGGAGACATTGACGCGTGGTCTTTAATGGAGCCAACAGATGTTATTGCCAAAATGAGGAAAGATTTTTATGAATTGGTTAGTATCTCCCAATAACCATTTCCTTGTTGCTATGTGTATTTCCAGGCAGCTTCCAAAAAATGGCAGGAACGAAAAGAGGCAATGGAAAGTTTGTTGTCTATTATGGAAAGTGCGCCTCGTGTAGCCTTGTCCCCCGATTTACAGCAAGTTATCGTGACATTGACTAAGGTTATTGAATGCTTTGCAACCGTTATCTAATATCACTTCGTTGCTAGGTGGGATTAATCAGCAAGTAGTACAACTCAGCTGACTTTTTTCTAAGGTCGGCAAGTCCTTCTTACAACTGAAAACAATTTTTACTACAGATTCTCGAGAAGGACGTTAACATAAACGTAAGCTCTATCTGTGTTAAA